TATATCTATATATTATATATCTATATCATATATAGATATATAATATCTATATATCTATATATTTCTTAGCCTACTGGGATCTGTTTCATCAGGAGACATGGCAAGCTTTTTACAGATTGAATGAATTCATAGCCCTAGACCGATCTTAGCTGTACTCCCCCCTGTAGAAAGTATGATAGTTTGAGTTTCCTTTTATGATGTGTCTATACAAGGGGTAGGAAACCTTGGCTCTCTAGCTGTGCTGAAACTAAAAATCCCATAAGGCATTGCAAGCCACAGGCATGACTCCGAGGCAGAAGCATGATGGGATTTGTAGTTTCAGCACAGCTGGAGAGCCAGGGTTGCCTACCCCTGGTCTATACCTTATACATAGATACAAAAAATTATCTGCGCCAGTAAATCAAATAAAGTTAAAGCTACTAGGCTCTGTAATATTCTGACATAAACGAATGAACAGTAATGTGCCAAGCTAATAACAATAATTACCAAGCCTCTGGCTAGAGGCATCGAGGCTTGATAAGGGTTAACCCACCTGCTGGGATTGCTCAAAGTGCACAGGAAGCCAGCCTGCAGTGTTCTGTGAGGTGTGCTTGGAGCAGGACATGGCTGTGTGGAATTGTGGACTGCCTGCTACTGAGAAGCTGCTGGGCATCGGCGTCTGTGTTTGACCCTCTGAGTGCAGGCTGGAGTTTTTGTTCATTTGTTGTGTTTGCTGAAGCAAAGCTGTTTCTGTTGGAGTGTTTTGAGAGAAATAAAGACTTTTATTTTACTAACACGGCTGGCTTTCAGTCACAACTGCTCTGAATATTACTATAGTGACATAGGTTGAAAAAAGACACAAGTACATTGGGTTCAACCTATAGAGATGAGAAAAAGAAAAACCTAAAACAGAATGCTATGCCCACAGTTACCCACTGTTGATCCAGGGGAAGGAAAAAAAACCTCTGGTTCCTGCGCCCAATGAGATAGTGGTGTGCGCTCCAGCTCCGTGACGACAGCCTCGGAACACAGAACATACCCGATCTTCCCGAACATCCTATTGTCTGTTGACCTCCGAAGGTGATGGCCAAATTCCTATCTCGTTCACAACCAAATAAACAAACGCTGATGCCCGATCTACACAACCGCATGTTGCACCCAAGATGGCGGATCGGGAAGAGCTCAACCAACACACTCCTGCAGAACCCATGGGTGAGTCCCATCCAGTTTCCTTGGAAACAAACCTTGATTATCAGCATCTGGCTGCGGCCGTAGCCTCTTACCTAAAGTCCGATCTAGCTACCATTATTGCTGACTCCATGCAGAAGCATATGAGTCGTCTAACTCTTACCCTGGAGACACACGAACATCGTATCCAAACTGCTGAGAATAAAATCAGCGCCATGGAAGCGTCAACTTCATGACGATCATGATGCTCAGATTGACTCTGCTAAGCAAATACATTATCTCCTAGACAAGGTGGATGACCTTGAAAATCTGGCTTTGTTTCTGGAAGATTGACTGTTAATATACGTCAAGCAATTGCAGCTATTGAATACTGTCGTTTGTCTGGTCCTCCTCTTCGCCCAATGACCCTTTTGGCATTAGACGCAGAGAAGGCCTTCGATTAGTATTAATAGGATATAGCTCACAAATGTTCTGCAACACATGGGATTTATAGGGTTTTTCCTCAACTATGTCTCAAAACTCTACACTGCCCCCACAGCACAAATTTTTACTTCCACGTTTCTCTCCTCCCCCTTTTCGCTAATAATTATTAATTTATAGTTATCTCGGCTTTGGATCTACAAAGAAATTACAGAGTTTTGCCTCCAATAAACCTCCTGAGGAAGCTTTAGCGAGCGAAATGCGTCGAGGGCCGGAATAGTGCAATTATAGATGAAATTATGCTTGCCTTGTAAATATGTATGGACAATCATGCACCAAATGCATGACCATTACTACAAAAAATATATCGTTATTATATACACCATGCAATTGCACTAAGTCCAGGGAGGTATATTTAATTATTTATCATCCACTATTTGTAACTTTTTAGACCAATGAAATGTTTTTAAGTATATTGAGATAATGTAAATAACATTTCTTATTATACTGTATTATATATATTTATGACCAGTCAATATGTCTTGTTACCAAGCTAAGCCATGTTATCCCACATTCATCATTTGACACTTTTAAAGCCCCATTATCGCTTAGTTTTTTCGTGTATTGTATTCAGGGGTGTGGTGTCACAGTTCAGATGGGTGTTCTGGGAGATACCCATTTGTTTTATTTAACTTAAACTCTGAAACCATTTATCAGAATAGGTCAAAACTTTGCACATATGTCCAGGGTGACCTCTTCTACCATGGTTGTAGAAATAGACCCAGTCCCAAAATCAAAATGGCTGCTACAAGCCAATGATATTTAGATAGTGTTGTTATTGTTATGGCCTTTTTTTAAAAAGCCTGTAATAAGCGCAGTGTTACTCAGAAACTCATGCAACTTGGCCCAATGGTAGAGCTCTATGCTATGCTTAATCTTTTGTAGCATAAAGGTGATAGGTCACATTGCCTGGCAGCCATCTTGTTTTAGGTGACAATATTCAGCTCCATATTCAATCATCTGTTTCTCACAAACTATTACAGCTACAGATATACAAATTGCTGTGTAAAGTCATGCCGTGATTTACACTTAGAACTGGTCATTACAAGTCATCTGATCACATAGTTCAGCGGCCATATTGAATTGTGTCAAATTCTACAAATATTCCTATTTTAATGCTGTTTTTTTCAATTGCTAATTATAACCACACTGTTATTTAAAACCTCATGTAATTTAGCACAATGGTAGAGAACTGTGCTGTGTTTAATCTTTGGCAACATAAAGGTCATAGGTCGCATGCTCTGGCAGCCATCTTGGTTTTAGCAAACCTATTTCTGACAATTTTCAAACATCTGTTTTTTTCATAACTGCTAAAGCTACAGATCTACAAATTGCTATGTGAGGATATGCTGAGCTATGCAGTCATATATGTTCATTACAAGTCATGTGACCACATGGTTTTGCAGCCATATTGGATTGTGCAATATTCTGCAAACAACTTCATCTCTGAAACCATTTTTTTTAGAATAATTCAAAACTTTGCAGATATGTTTAGGGCTACCTCTTCTACCACGGTTGTAAAAACAGGTCCGATCCCAAAATCAATATGGCCGCAACAAGCCAATCACTTTTAACCTTTTAACTAGGGATGTCCCGATGCCACTTTTTCAGGCCCAAGTACAAGTACTTCCCCTCATGTACTTGCCGATACCAATTACCGATACTTTTTCTTAAAGGGACAGGTGACTTTAAATGATCCATAGTACAACTACATGTTCTGTGCTATGGATCATGATTTAACCTATTCATGTTGGTGGAGAATTGTAACTCTATTGCTGGAGTGTAGTGGAAGTGTGTGCTGTATATATGTACTACATATACATTACACATGTCCAGTACACTATAGCAATAGATTTACAGCCAGCCCCGTC